AGTCCATATTGGGTCTAATCCACCCCCGTGAACTCATCTTAATTGATTACTTGATTACCTCTGCAAAGTCTTGTCTAAAAATAGACTTGTATTCTAATGGGCCTGGAGTTTAGCATAGAAATTAGGATGAAGGGAGTGGGGCTGTGGCTCAGCTGCTGGAGTGCCTGCCTAGCGTGCTTGACGCTCTGGGTTTGAGCCCCAGCACCACACAACTGAGGTGGGGTTCACACCACGTTCATTTCAGCACTCGGAAGACAGAGGCAGAAGGATCCTGAGTTCCAGCTACACAGTGAGTTGGAGGCCAGCTTGGGCTACATGAGATCCTGTTTCAATCAATCAATCAATCAATCAATCAATGGCAAGATTCCAAGGAAATCATTCTTTTTTAAAATTTAATTAATTTTATTAACTTGTTTTCCACACCAACCATAGTTTCCCCTCCCTCCTCTCCTTCCTTCCCTCCTCCCTCCCGGTGGCCTCCCCTTCAATCCACTCCTCCTCTGTTTCTGTTCAGCAATCAACAAAGCATGGCATATCAAGTTGCGGTAAGACTAAGCACCTCCCCTGGTATTTAGGCTGAGCCAGGAGACCCAGTAGGAGGAATAGCTTCCCTAGAGCCATCCAAAGCATTGTTAGGAGCCCCACAAACAGATCAAGCTATACAACTGTCACATATATGTAGAGGGCTTAGGTCAGTCCCATGCAGGCTACCTGGTTGGCAGTTCAGTCTCTGTGAGCTCCTATGAGCCCAGGTTAGTTGACTCCGTGGGTTTTTGGTTTTTTGTGGTGTCCTCGACCCCTCTGGCTCCTGCAGTCCTTCTTCAGCAGGATTCCCTAAGCTCGGCCTAATGTTTGGCTGTGGGTCTCTGATCTGTTTCCACCAGTTACTGGATGAAAGCTCTATGATGACTATTGGGGTAGTCACCAATGTGATCAGAGGAGGCGGCCAGTTGAGACTATGTATCCACTACCGCTAGGAGTCTTAGCTGGGGTCATCCTTGTAGATTCATGGGAGATTCCCTTGTACCAGGTTTCTACCTGACCCTGAAAAGCCCCCTCCCCCACTTTCCCAGTCATCTTTCCAGTACTCTCCCCATCCACCCCAACCAGATCCCCCAAATTCCCATCCCCACCTGCCCCAAGTCCACCTAGGAGATCTCTTCTGTTTCTCCTTCCCAGGGAGATCCATGTGTCCCCCCTTGGGCCCTCCTTGTTACCTCGCCTGTGGATTGTAGCATGGTTATCCTTTCAAAAAGTAAGACATTTTTGGGAGCAACACCTTTACCCATGGCCAAGGATTAAAGGAGCCAGCCTGCAGGAGTGGGACACTCAGAACAGGAACTGGACCTTCCAATACCAAGGAAAGGCAGACTGTTTCTGCTATACCCCAGGGCCATGGAGAGAGAAAGAAGAGGGGCCATAAGGGAACTGCAGATGGATCATGGCATGTGCCAGATCCCTCTAGCCCCAACAGACCTGCAGAGGAGCAAGGTGCCATCTCCACCTCAGACTCCAGAGCCAGATACCTACAGCCCAGCTCTCACTCTGGCGAGGCAAACCTGCCCCTCTCCAGGCCCCGCCTTCTTCTTCTCCCTCTTTTCCCTCCCTTCTTCTTCCCCTTGTCTCACAACCCTCCTTTTTCCCCCTTCTCCTCCTTTTCTCTTCCTCTTCCTCTTCCTTTCCTCTCCTCCTCTCTCTCTTCTGTTCCTCCTCTCCTCCTCTTCTTCTAACCTCCAGGTAGTTACATCCCAGAGGAGTGGCCTGGTCCTTGCTTATGGCTCAGGGGCAGGTAGCAGGGGAGGGAGGGTCTTAGTTACACCAGAAAGTCGTGAGGAAAGGGTTGACCAGAAGTTCAAGTAAGGGAAGTGTGAGGTTCAGAGTGCTCTAGCATTTGGGGCAAGCAGAGACATCAGGAATGAGTCAACCAGCTACCTTTCCTGTGTGTGGCGAGACTTCTTAAAAAGATAACACTTGTGAATACAATACCACATTGTTGGCTACAGTTATCCCTCTGTGGACGAGCTCTCTTAAGCCTACTTGCTCTTTATATCTGTTTTTTCATGCCCTTTGTCCCCCACACCCACATCCCCCCACCCCACCCCCATCATAATCACGCTTTGCTATGTTTCTGTTACTTCACATTACTTTGGTTGTTTTGTAGGGTCCATGCATTTTGGGTATATATGGACCTCTTTTCAGCCACCCCTCCTCTCTTTGAGACAGGGTTTCATGGAGGCCAGGCTGGCCTCCAACTGCATATGTAGCCAAGGATGACCTTACACTCTTTATTTCCCTGCTTTCACCTGCCCTGTGCAGGGATTGCAAGCAGGCATCCCTGTGCTTGGTTTACTGGTGCTGGGATGGATGCCAGGGCTTCATGTGTGCCAGGCAAGCACTTGACTGACTGAGCCACATGCCCAGCCTTCTTTTGCCATTTCTCACCCTTCCCTCCCTTCCTCCTCCTTCCCTTGTTTATCAAATATTTCCCCATGGACCCAGGTGATACTCTGCACTGACTGCTGTGAGGACACATGGTCGCAATAGTCTGGTGACTATCCAGACCAAGACACAAATTTATCCCGTAGGGGTGAAGAAAGGTCAAATATCCCATAGATGAAGATAATGTTGTCCCCATCTAGGCTTGGTCACCTCAGGCTCTTCTCAATTGCCTCGGTGGTTGGTCCTGGAGAGGAGATGACAGAATGTACAGGGAGGAGAGAGCCAGGCAGACAGCTGTGTGCCATCATCTATTCCTACGGATGAAGGGAGCAACTGAGACTGTGGTCTGAGACCTACTCAGTCCAGCAACCCCCGGGACTTGGTGGGCTCAGCATACCCACTTACAGAGCAGGAAACTGAGGCATGCATGGTTAAGGAGTCGCTAGGAAGTGGGGCAAGGAAGATAACCCTGTTCCTCCTTGCAGAGTCCCTCCAGGGTCCTTCTGCTGCCCACAGCAAAGCAGAACTACTCAAAGACCGTGGCTCTGTTTTTGTAATGTATGCAGTAAAGGGTGATGTCTTAGTCGCTTTTCAATTGCAGTTATAAAATATCAAGGCAACTTATAAAAGGAAGAGTTTATTGGGGGCTCACAGTTCCAGAGGGTTAGAGTCTATGACTATCATAGTGGGGTGTATGATAGCAGGTAGGCAGGCAGGCATGGCATTGGAGCAGTAGGGAGCTCACATCTTACCCACAAGCATGAGGCAAAGAGAGTGAGTGCACAGTAACTGCGAATGTCCTAGGCTTTTGAAACCTCAAAACCCACCCCCAGTGACATGCCTCCTCCAACATAGCCATACCTACCAATCCTTCCCAAATAGTTCCACCAACTGAGGCCCAAGCATTCAAGTATATGAGCCAGTGAGGGCCGTTCTCATTCAAACCACCCAAAGATGGCTTCACAGAGTCAAGAGGCAAAATCCAACTACTATGACAGGGTGAGCTTCCATAATCCAAAAATATGAAATCCAAAATGCATCAGAACCTGAAACATTTTATTTTGAGAATGAATCTCATGTAGCCCAGGCTAGCCTTGAACTTGATGACCTTGAACCCATGATCCCCCTGCCTTCACTTCTCCAGTGGGCAACACCACACCAAAATGAATAAAATGTTATTAAAAATGAAAAGCTTCAGAGTTTAGAGTGATTTGAACTTCAGTTCTCCAGATTAGGATGTTGAACTAAAATTAAACTCTTGCTTCCTAAGTTGCCCATGCCAGGCATTTTGCCACAGCAATGAGAGCAGTATCTAGTAAACAGCAAGCCTGCAATACTTCAAGGAACAGGAAATGGTCCACTGCAGTGCCCAGTGGGTGGAGAACTGACCTGTGTGTCGTGTACCTTTCCTGTACCATGCCATCCTGTCACATCCTGGCTTTACAACTCATTCACCTGCTTACATTAAGAATCCATTAAGGCTGGGGCTGCAGATCAACAGTAAACTGTCTGCCTGGACTCCGCAAGTGAAGAGCTCCGGTGTGGCTCAGTGGTAGAGCCCCTGCCTAGAATCCCCCAGTGAGGGGCTGGGGTGTGACTCAGAGGTAGAGCTTCTGCCTAGAATCCCCAGTGAGGGGATGAAGGCATGCTCTATGGTACAGCTTCTGCTCAGGGGTAATTCTCTTGCCTGGCAAGCCCAAGGCCTTGGGTTCAATTTAGGGACTCAGTGAATTCTCCTACAACTTATGCCCAAGGAGTGTTAGTCCCCGCATCAAAAACATGAAAGGAGAACATGTATTTCCCCACTGTCTAGCTTAGCTGACTTCGTCTCAGAGTTGTGGCTCTTACAATTTAAAAAAAAAAATTTATTCTATTTACTTATTTTGTGTGTGTGTGTGTGGGGGGGGGGGCTGTTGAATTCCTGGGTCTGAGGGAGAAACCTGAGGTTGGACCTTGTTTAAAGGAGGAGGGCTGGAGTCTGGACATCTAGGTGTGAGGGAGGAGGCTGGGCCTTGGACTCCCAGGGTCTGATAGAGGAGGTTGGGGTCTGTGCATCTGGGCCTGAGGAAGGAGGCTGTGGCTTTTGCACCTGGGTCTCCTATGACTAAGGGAGGAGGAAGGGAGGAGGATCTCCCTTAGTCTGTGCACCTTGGGTCTGAGGGAGGAGGGACAGGACCCGGCTCTGGCGAGGAGGATTTTGGCTCCTGCAGCAGGAGGCAGCTGGATGAAGTGCATCTCAGGCCCGGGTTCTGGAGACCAGGAGGACGCCTGTGGCCCGGGGGAGGTCGGGGGAGGGGCCGGGCCACAGTAACAAAGGCCTCTCCCTCCAACGAGCAACCCCCCCAGGCCCCGCCTCCGCGGCCCCCCGCCTGCCCTGATTGGCCGGTCTCCCTGCCCGTCAGCGCCACCCCCCTCCCCGGGTCTGCAGCAGCTCCAGCCGCCTCGTCGCGCCCCCCCAGCCCCCTCCCCCCGCCCCCGCCGCCCCCCGGGCCGGTGCAGCCGCAGGCGGGGTCCCCCTTCCCCTCCCCCTCTCCCCCAGGCTCGCGCGCCCCGACCGCCCCCTCCCCTCCCCCTCCGCGCCGCCGCGATGCCCCCCCCTGCGCCCGGGGCCCGGCTCCGGCTCCTCGCCGCCGCCGCCCTGGCCGGCCTGGCCGTCATCAGCCGAGGTACCGCAGCGCCGGGGGCGGGGGGGCTCGGCGGGGACGCCGGGGTCCCGGGAGGGGGTACAGGGCCAGGGCGGAGGCGGGCAGGGAGGTACCCCTCGAGGGTAGGGGTATGCGGAGGTCTGGAGCTGGAGACCTGGCAGCAGTCCTTGGCTGGGCAGGGGGTCCTTGGGTGCATGGATGCGCGGGGTTCAGGGGTGCATGTCCCTATCTGGTCAGCTGCTCCATCACTAGCAAGAGGGTCGCCGACACCTGCTGCTGGCCAGGGGCCGCAGAAATATACAGCTCTAGGTCAGGTAGGGGCTCAGACATTGGGGTGACAGCCCCCGCCTGGGCAGAGTCTCCAAACTGAGTTGGGGTACTAGGCTGGAATGATGCCCCGTGCGTGGAGAGGTCTTGTCTTTGCGTTTTGGAGAGGGTCCCCTGCGCAGTCCTTGCCTGGGGACAGGGCTCTGCGTCTTTAGACGGAGGTAAAGGAGGGAATGTCTTCCCAGGGTCAGCAAGCAACGGGGACAGAGTGCCCAAAGACTGAAATAAATCCCAGACCCAGGGATATCAGAGAAGGGGCTGAAACTCCCTATCCGGGTTTTCCTCTCAGCTGAAAGTGTTGGCATTTGGGGTGTTGCAGTTAATTGGGAGATGGCATTGGGAAGCCAGCAAGTTGGGGTGCTGGGCTTAGGATTCTGATCTAAGTCTTCAATTGGATGAATATTTGGATGGAGAAATGGACAGGTGAAGGAGTCGGGGGTGGACTGGAGAAGGTAGGACAGGAAGAGTTAATGCAGGGTCTCAAGGGTCTCAACCAGTCCAGTGGACCTGGAGACCCTCGGTAACAGCAGGTGTAAGTCCTGCCTTGAGGATGTGTCTGGACTGTCTCCCCTGCAGGGCTTGTCAAGGAGAGTATGGTCAAGGAAAGGACCCTGCGGGCACAGGAGGGAGAGGGATGGGGCAGAAGAGTGAGCTGTGGGTACCCAGGAAGCCAAGAAAGTGTTAATCTGGCGTTTCTACATCACTTCCTCCAGGCCCTGTCCAATCAAGCATCACAGAATCAGGGACATGCTATGCCATCAGGGACCCAACATTATGACCCCAGCTGGCAGCCCCAAGGGAAGCAGCTACTCTGGGCCTCCAATCAAGTCACCCACAGTCACACAAACATCCCAGCATCCCAGCCAAGCTGCACCTGCAGACTAGAGTCACATGAACAACCCTGTCCACGCAGGACGCCCACACACAGATCTATTGGGGGAGGGCGTGGAATCTGCCAGGAATGGAATGGGCCAGCAAGTCCACCGCTTAGCACAGTACAAGGCTGAGCACCGTCTTACTTGCCGACCACTGGCTGGGTGCCTTTCTCGCCTGTCGCTTTAGGTTTCTGTTTCTGGCTTATTTATGGGCCCTCCTTGCCAGTCTCTGTTACTTGCTGGTGGCACTCCCTGTCTCCATGGGCTGTCTTTCCATCCTTGCTGGTTTCAGTACGGTGGCACGGTGGCACGTCTGCCTCTCAAACTGATCTCCATTGGCCTCTGTGTTGGAGTCCCTCCTCTTTCCTTGCTCCCTCACTCATACTGTACCCCTGTTCACTTCTGCACCTGTTCCTTCCTCCCCTCACTGTACCTCCTTGAGCCCTGACTCCACCCAACTCTCTTCTTAAGGTACTGCTCCATTTGCCAATTTGCCTCTCAGAAATCATTACTATGCATGTCTCCTGGGGTCCTCCCCTGGGGGCGGGAGGGGGCGGGGCAGGGCGGGGGCCGGGGGAAGGGCTTGTCTCTGGCAAAGCCATATGACCTTGATCAATGAAAACCTGAGAGTGAGAGAAGATGGAACCCAGTGGGTTGAGCCAAGATAAATCTGCCTGTCAGGCAGGTACCCCATTCATACCCACTGCTACTTTGTGTGTGTGTGTGTGTGTGTGTAGGGGGCACCTTATTTTGTTAAGTATGCAAAATAGTGCCTTCTTTTTTTCCAAACCATGTTTTTCACAAGGAGCATATAAGAACCAAGTCCTTGACCCCAACTTCCTCGTGTATTTTTCTAGTCAAGAGTCTCACAGACTGGCCTTGAATTCAAGGTGATCCTCCTGTCTCAGCCTTCCAAGTGCTGTGATTACAGGCATGGGCTTCTCTCTTCTCTCACAGTTTTTTGTTTGTTTGTTTGTTTTTTGGGTGGTTTTTGTTTGTTTGTTTTTTGGTGTTTTTTTAAAGGGTCGTAATATGTAGTCATGGTTGGCCTGGAAAATGTAGACCAGGCTGGCCTTGAACTGAAGGCAATCCTGCCTTTTCTTCCTAGATTCTGGGACTATGGCTGTGCGCTACCATGCCCAGGTCTCACACACACCTGAGAGAAGCTGATGGATGAGGAGCCAGGCAGCAGAGGGGCATACTTCCTCAGCTTTCTTTCCCTTCCATAAACTCATTCCACACAACTTTCAATGCAGAGCAAAGGAGACCCGTTCTTGCTAGTGTTTTCTTCCTAAAACAGAAATAAAGTCAGCCCATTTCTTGTTGTTGGCTTATTTACACTTAGCAAAACCTCCTTGGCTATGTAACTATAAGCCTACAATTAATCCCCCACCCCAAATCCTTTATGCCAACACCGTCCACACATTTACATATTCATTCACAAAATGAAGCTTCGCCAGCTGGGGATGTGGCTTAGTTGGTAGAGTGCTTGGTTGTCATGCAGGAGGCCCTGGGTTCGACCCCCAGAGCTGCATAAGCTGGAGCATGGTGGTGCATACCTGTATTCCCTGCATTTGGGAGCAGAGGCAGGAAGATCAGAGGTCCAAGGTCAGTCTTTGCTACTGAGCTAGCCTGGGCTATCTGAGATCCTGTCTCAAAACTAACTGCATCAAAAAATTCAACAGAATGAGTGAGTTGGTGGGGGAAAGGGGATACCTTCTGCTCCTGGAGCAGCTGGAAGGGAGAGGGCATGCACACAGCAGCCAGCAACGAAGCCAGTGCCACCCCTGACCATTCCATGGCCCTTGCATTCTGTCCCAGACTCTGACTCTTGATCCTTTTTTTTCTTTTTTCCTTTTTTTTTTTTTTAATATTGCATTTACTTATTTGTATAGTGGGGGTCAGAGGACAACTTGTGGAAGTCAGTTCTCTACTTCCACCATGTGGGTCCAGGGGATTGAACTCAAGTTATCAGACTTAGCAGCCCAAGCTGGTCTGGAACTCAGAGGGTAGTCATGTATTGTCCCACCTTGTGGGTAGCCCAGGCTGGTCTCAAACTTGCAGTAGTTGTCATACCTTAGTGTCCCCAGCACCAGGATTACAATTGTGTGCTACCACACCTGCTTCCTTGGCTTAGCAAATATTGTGTAAACTGACATTCTAGGTACCTGAGAAATGTGGTGTGTGTGGTGAGGGCAGGGGGCAGGGGGCAGGGAGCGAGCCACACTAAGCACTCCTTCACAGAGCTTATAGGGAAAAGAAGAGAGATCAAGAATCAGCTGAAAAAAAATCCAACAAACAAGTAGATAGGTCATCTCAGGGAGTGTCACATAATGGGAAGAGGCTAGAAGTGCTTTGGAGGATGAGTTGTCCATTTTAGAGGAGGGTGGTCCAGGAAGCCACCTAGGAAGGTGAGAAGGGGGTTAAGGCCTGAAGGAAGAGCAAATCCAGCCTTAGCTTTCCAGGTCCTTTTTCTTTCCAGGTCCCAAGGAAAACAGTGTGTGCAAAGGTCCTGAGGTGTCAAAAAAGGGTGGCTGATGGGCAGCACTCAGGCATCACATGAGTGGAGGCCCCAGGCTTCCAAGTTGAGCAAAGGTGGACTTTTGGGTGGCCATCATGCCAGAGACTATTCCTTCTGTGGCCCTTCCCTGGGCAGCCTAAAGGAGCTCCAGGCCCCAGGTAGTAGGATCATACCTTTCCAGCTCCAGTCCTCACCCAAGGGTCCAGCTTTGCCTGAGGTTCCTCCAGGATCCCTAAAGATTCTTACTTCTAATTTCTGGACACAGAGCTTGTCAGAAATCTCTTCCTCCCTTGACTGTGGCCTCTCTTTATTGATTTATTCTGTTAGTCTAGACTGGAAATCTCACAAGAGCAGGAGCCTGTCCTCACAGAATGCCTCCCTTCGAAATCCCTGAGCTCTCTTTCTCAGCTTATTATTTATATTTTTATATATGTTATTGCATATCACCCACAGTCTCACTACATATTTCAAACTGGCCTGGAACTTACTCTGTAGTCCAGGCTGGCTTGGAACTCGGTAGTCAAGCTGGCCTCAAATTTGGGGCAATCCTTCTGCCTCACTTTCCAAGTGCTGTGATTACAGGCATGAGCCACCAAGTCTGACTTTCACAATGTCTCTCTAATCTACCCTATCTCCAGTAAGAGACTTTTTTTCATTTTCATTTGCCAATAATGTGCTTTTTGACACAGCCAATGCTTCTTAGGCGATTTGACATGTCAGGTGCTGAACTAAGCATGACTTTTGCTTGTGAACTCTCAAGGCAGTGCTCAGGAAAACTTGCACTGAATTCTTATTCTTTGTTTTCTCCAGATAGGGAAACCATGGCTCAAACCATGGGGATGTGTAGTCAAGACATGGAAGGGTCGACAGTGGGCTTCCTAGCCTGGGCTCCTTTGAGATCACTTGTCTTTAGGACCTTCTACTTCCTTTCCACAGAGCTCTCTCTGATCTAAGCAAGGCACAGTCCTGCGTCACAAAGGCAGAAATCACAGCATGGGGGACTGAAGAGAGGGCTCAGTGGGTTAGAGCATTTGCTGCTCTTGCAGAAGACCTGGTTGGGCTCCCAGCACCCATGTGACAGCTCACAGCTATCTCTAAGTCCAGTTCCAGGGAATCCAACACCCTCTTCTGGTTTCTGTGGATGCTTCTGCATTCACATGGTGCACATAAACTCACACAGGCACACACGTGTACACATCAAGTACAAATAAATGAATATTTCTAATCACACCATCCAGAAACTCCAGGTCAGGTAAGGGAGGTGCTGTAGACATCTAACCTGGCTGCCTAGAACAGGGTGTGGGGCCTCTTGCCTGAGCAATCAAGAGCTCTTCCTGAGTGGGGTATTTATGTTGGAGTCTTGAAGAATGAGAATGAGTTCAAGAGTCACAGGCATCCATTCATATTTATTTAGCCAACAACTGTTTCCAAGAGGGCTCCAGTGAGAGCCAGGAGACACTAGGGACATGGAGCTGAGTCACAGTGAGGCTCTGTCCCCAAAACATGTCTAGTTTCCAGGAGAGGTGGGTGTTTTCTGTGAATTTAGTTATGATGGCGAGTGCCCAGGCTCTGTGTGAAGGAAGACCAGACTTGAGGGAGTCTGGGAGTGTTCCTAGGAGGGTTTCCACACTGATACCTTAAACATCTTTTAAGGCTTGATGTTGGCCAGGCACTGCACTGGATCATGCTGCAGCCCTGGAGGAGTTCCCACACATGGCCACAATCGGGAAACTCAGGCAACATGGAGAGGATTCGGGTCCAGTGGAGTTTTAATATTGTCTTTGGGACCAGATGTGGTGGCCCATGCCTTTAATCCCAGCATTTGGGAGGCAGAGGCGGGCAGGTCTCTGTAAGTTCAAGACCATCCTGGTTTACATAGTGAACTCCAGGACAGCCAGGACTAGGTAGAGAGACCCTGTCTAAAAAAAGAAAAGAAAAGAAAACTTAAAAAAGATTGTCTTTGGGTAAATGAATGCCTGCCTGACTTGGTCTCTACGTTCTTTGAGTGAAGCCTGGGCTGCACAGCACCTGATCCAGGGTCTGGGTGTTGTTTTTAATACATATATAAAGGCCTGTGGTATCCATATCCACAGGCAAGGAGCTAAAGGCCCATTGAGGGACAGGCTCATTGATCAGCATGTCACCTAGGACTGTCCACAAGACCACCTTGATTCAGGGTCACATGACCTGAGCACTGGGGCTGGAGTTCACCTGAGCCACTAGAGAAGAGGGATTTGAGGCTGTAGTGGATGGAGGAGCAGAGCGAGGCACATCTGGGCCCCAGGGGGGCTGGAGGCAGGAGGGGGACACAGGGACTCTGGGACTTGACAGGCAAGCTTTGGTCCCAGGGGCCACTGGAGCCTTCAGAAGTGGCAGTGCCAGTGTTGAGAAGCGTCCTGTGGCAAGAGGTGCCTCTGTGCTGGTCCCTCTGTCTGGAGAAGCTGTGGCTGAGGGCTTTCCTGTGGTGTGGGCCTCCACTCTCTGTCTCAGGGCCCATTTGCACAATGAGCCTGTGTGATGGGACTGGACATGCCGAAAGGCTGTCACCTTGGACAGCTCACTGGTCCCCACCTGTCCTCTCTTCAGAGCACTGGGGTAGTGGAGTATGATCTACCCACAGGGGACTTGCAGCAATATCTGTGGGTATCCTGTGCTGTCACTACTGTAGGGTGGGGGATCTAGGAACCCTACAGTGCCCAGGAAACTCCAGCCCTCAGTGGGCCAGGGTTGAGGGCCCTGTCTAGGTTACTACAAGGGCTTGGCATGCTGCAGCGTGTATCTGTGTTGGCCAGCTTACGAAGGGATCATGGTACCACACCGGGCTGTGTTCCTGAACTGATCATCACATTCCCTCGCTTCCTTTGGTCTGGATGCATATTTTAATCTGTGACTTTTAGACTCGTGTGTGTGTGTGTGTGTGTGTGTGTGTGTGTGTGTGTGTGTGTGTATGTGTGTGCGCGTGCATGACCTGGTCAGAAGTGACAGCATGATTTACTAAGAATTACAGATTCTTAGACAGAGCAGCCCCTGTGTATCGGAGGGGATGTGACAGTGTGGCGGTCTGTCCCCTTAGACAAGTGGTAGCTTTGTGCAAGTGGGACCAGAAGCCTTCCAAAGTGGGTGTAGGGAATGTCTGCTCAGGCTGGCAGTGCTACTTGTCTGCAACCCTGGGTGAGCGGACTTTGCAGCTGTGTGTGGGGTGCGAGGCTGCTGTCAGTGGAACCCTGAGGGAGCAGCAGAGTGACCTGGTGCACCAGTGCTGTTTGGCCTTTGGCATCCGTTTGCAGCTGCATGGGTCTATCTGCTTCTGGGAAACGGCTGATTTCTACAAGTGACCTTCTGCTAGGCATGTGTCTGGGGCTGTGGGTGTCCCTCTGACCTGGGCAGTCGCCATGTGTATGACAGGGCTTAGCCTTGGCTTTGTGTTTTTCCTAGGCCTTGGCGGGGTATGTATGTGTGTACACATCCCGTTGTTACCTGAGCACATGTGACCAAGTCCTCCGCATGGGCTTCTCACAGAGCAGCAGTAGCTCTGGCCTGCATGACCCCAGGCTGAGAGGCTTCAGGACTCAGACCCAAATCCCAGGCCTAGCCAGCTTGCTACATTGGTTCTGTCCTAGCCCCATCCTGAGGGGCTGTTGATTGAGAGGCCCCCAGGGAGTCATTGGCATAGCACGGGCAATTAATTCATTAGATTAATTAGCTTCTTTTCCCAGGCTGGGGGCAGGGCAGCCCTCTCAGGGCCCTCCCGCTCCAATCATCCAAGGTCATTCACTCCTCTTAGTGCAGTCTCCTTGCCCCCACTTACCCAGCCCCCACTCCCTGGCCCTGGTCCAGCCTGCTGGCTCCGATCCACAGACTTGAATGGTGGTGTGACCGGGCCGCACTGGTGTGTGCAAGCAGGCCTATGTGTGCACTATGAGCACTGGCATGCCAAGTGCGTCTGGCAGGTGTGTGTGTGTGTGTGTGTGTGTGTGTGTGTGTGTGTGTGTGTTCAACCACACAGGATACCTAAAGGTATGCATACAAGCCCATGTTTAGTATCTGTGATAGCTCCCTCTGTGTGTGTCTGCACATGTATGTCTGAGTTAATGTGTGTTTATGTGCATCTGTGTGTATGTATGTACAACTGCTCAGATGTTCATGTGTATATTTGTTAAAAATATATTTCATGTATGTATGAGTGTCTGTGCATGCATGTGTACTTATGCTCAACAGTCTGTGTGTATGAATGCGTACAATGTGTCGCTGTGTGTGCAAGTGTGTATGTATATGAATGAGTCCTGAGCACTTGTATGTACATACATGGTACCTGGGTCTGTATGTGAACATACCTGCATGCTCATTTATTACATCTATGCATTGTGTGACTTTTCCTGAGGACACTTGAATAAACATCTGTCCATGGGGCTGGAGAGATGGCTCAATAATGAAGGCAGTTTCTACTTCTGCAGAGGGCCTGAGTTCAGTGCCCAGCACCCACATCAGGCAGCTTACAATAGCCTGTAATTCCAACTCCAAGGGATCCGATGCCCTCTCCAAGGGCACACACCACACATACATATAATAATAACCAAAGCAACAACAAAAGGAAACGTCTACCCACCCCAGACAGGGCACAAACAATACACCAGAGAAACAATTATGAAATCCAGGTCTAGTTGGTGGACCAATGAGTTCAAATGGGGTTTTCACAGGAGTGACTCACAGGAACGTGGGCAACGTTCAGGCAGCTACACCATCAAAGAAGAGTTGTCCCCCCCCACCCCGACACACCCCAGCGAAGTTAACAAGCTTCCTCCTGCGGGGTTTCTATGTGCCACCCCATGAGCTGCCATGACCCGTTCCTGTGCTGCATCCGGTGCTCTGAGAGCATCCTTCCCACAAGGGACTATTACTTAGTCCAGTCCTGCAAACATCTCCTGTGGTGCTCTGCTATCAAGACAGCAATCTTGTTACGCCCCAGGGGACAGTGTTCCATAGTATGTAACTGGGAGTCTGTGCACACTTATGTGTCTCTGAACACTTTGCTTTGCATACTCGTGTAGCCGAGTGCTTAGACGTGTCTGCGTGTCTGTGTCACTGTGTTCGATAGGTGCATATATGTGTCTGGGTGCACAGGTGTCTGTATGGATGTATCTCTCTGCATGCACATTTGTCTGTGTGTACGGGCTGCAATTGGGTGTCATCTCCGCAAGTGCACTGGTCCACAAGAGTTCCATTCTGTTTATGAGTCAGAACAGACCACAGGAAGGGACATGGCATATATTGGTCTATTCTGAGTATGTCCACTATGTGTGAATTTCTAAAAACAATGAATTCTTGTAGCAGTGGATGCAGATGCCTGTGTTTGTGTCCGTGAACAGTGTTTGTCACAGCTGGCCCCACCCCAGCTGCCAAGGCTGAGCAATCCCCTCCCTTCTACAGGACTGCTCTCCCAGAGCCTGGAGTTCAGCTCACCCGCGGACAACTATACAGTGTGTGAAGGTGACAACGCCACCCTCAGGTACATCTCGGTGGAGGGGCTCAGGCAGCCTGGGCTTCACAAGGCTACGCCCCTCCACCCACTCTGCATGCACAAGCCTTGATGACACCACCTGCATCTGGAGCCAGCTGTGAGGGGGTGTGGACACTAAGCCCAGCTCGACCTATAGTAGACCTTACTGTCCTCATAAAAGTGAAGAGGTGGGGGCTACTAGGATTCAAAATCCTGTAGACCATGAGTGCCAAGGATGCTGAGTGAAGGTTATCAGTCTCTGGGGCCATCTCCTCACTAGGGTCTCTACCCCACCTGTGTCATTGTCCCTTGTGTTATCTGTCTGTCAGTCTATCTATCTATCTATCTATCTATCTATCTATCTATCTATCTATCTATCTATCTATCTATCTATCTAACCCCTCTGTGTGTGTCTGTTTCTCTCTCAAATTGTCTTATCGCAATGCCTCGTCCCTCCGTCTCTTCTTCCCCCTTTTACTCTCTTTCCAAGTCTTCTCTCTCTCTCTCTCTCTCTCTCTCTCTCTCTCTCTCTCTCTTCCTCCTCCTCCTCTCCTCTCCATCTTTGCCTCCTTTTTCGGAGTCTCTGCCCCATCTTTCTTGTTTTCTATCTCTATCTCTATTTCTCCCCACTTGTCTCTGTTCTTCTCTCTCAGGGTCTTTGCGCCCACTTCCCACCTCTGAGTCAGTCTCCCTCCCTCCCTTCCTGTCTAATACACAGCAGTTCCTCAGAAGTCTGGCTTCCAGGCCTCTTCCCTCTCTGAGGCTTGGTTTACCCTCCTGTAGAGTGGGCACTGCCCTGTCTGCTTCCCAGGGTCCTGCAGGTGTAGTGGCAGTGGGTGAGGAAACCCCTGCCTTCTCTTCTTATCCTCCCCTTCCTCCCCAGCTGCTTCATTGATGAGCACGTGACTCGAGTGGCCTGGCTGAACCGCTCCAACATCCTGTATGCAGGAAACGACCGCTGGACCAGTGACCCCCGGGTGCGGCTGCTCATCAACACACCTGAGGAGTTCTCGATCCTCATCACCCAGGTGGGGCTCGGTGATGAGGGCCTCTACACCTGCTCCTTCCAGACCCGCCACCAGCCCTATACCACTCAGGTCTACCTCATCGTCCACGGTGAGCCCTGTGTGAAGATGAGGTCAGGTGGGGAGGGGACAGGAAGACAGGCCTGCAGGATGGTCAGGGCTAGGAGGTACTACTGAACAGCCTGCACTGTGTACACTCGGCCCACTGCTGGTCACTACCCTGGGATACAAGTGAGTGGAGCATGAGCCACCTCGCCCTTGTGGATTTCAACCAGGCTTGAGGTGGGGTGGCACCACAGTGGTTCTCTAACAAGGTAGTGGGAGAGGTACTCAACCTCAGCTCTGTGTGTTTGCTGAGCTGTGTTACTGTGACTCCCCGTGAGTGGATACTCTTCTGGGTGCTAAGGAAACACACCAGCCTGGCTGTTTCTCCCTGTTTGCACTTATTTCCCAAGGAGAGGTTCAGGGGGTTCCTAGACATGAGGAAGGAGAGTTAGTGTGCACGCCTCTGGGGGTGAGGGAGGAGGGCTAAAGTCTGAACTCCTGGATCTGATGAGATAGGTCTGTACTCCTGGGTGTGGTGGGAAAGAGGAGAGCTGGGGTCTGTACCCCAGGGTCTGAGGAAATAAGATTGAGTCTGAGTATGACTCCTGGGTGGGAGGGAGGGCTGACATCTTGACCCCTGGATCTGAGGGAGGAGGGATGGACTCTGAACTCCTCAGTCCGAGGGTGGAGGACTGTAGTGTGGAGTCTACACCCATGGGTCTGAGTGAGGAGGGTCTGAGCCCACACCCCTGGGTCTAAAGGAGGTGAGCTGGGGTCTGTAATGCTGGACCTGAGGGAGGAGGGCCAGGCTTGGATCTGAAACAGTGGAGCTTAGGTGAGTGGCTAGAAAGGCACCCTCACCCCAGCTCTCTCCTCGGTCTCCAGTTCCTGCCCGCATCGTGAATATCTCCTCACCTGTGGCAGTGAATGAAGGGGGCAATGTGAACCTTCTCTGCCTGGCTGTGGGAAGGCCAGAGCCCACTGTCACCTGGAGACAGCTCCGAGGTGAGGCTCCTCCCCTGGCTGTAATCTGAGCCCCTCTGTCCTCCCACATCCCTAGCTGGAGCCCCAGACTCCCTCCCTCTGAACCCCTCTAGCCCTTCTGATGACTTGATTCCTTCCCACCCTGACCCCCATTTCATACCAGACTCCCATCCCCTTATCTGGAGGCCTCCCACCTGATGTTCAGGCAGGGCTTTTGTCTCCAAGTCACCTGACACTCCCCCCCAGCTCCCCCCCCCCCTCGCCCCGACAGATTCTCCTGACTCAGGCCCCAAGCTAGGCTGCATCCAGTGTCCTACCATTCATTCACCTAGCAGTCCTGTACTCTCCTCTGTTGGATGTTGTAACCTAGTAGTTTGAGTGGTCCCCAGACCTCAGCATCAGCAACTCCTGGGAAGTTTCCAGAAATGCACATTATCAGGCCCCCGCCCTAGATCCAGAGGCAATCAGGAGCTCCCCTCTCTCTACCTACAACCTGCTTTATGAGTTCCGAGATCCAGTTTCCCCGAAGGTGCCTCCAAGCTGCCTGACATGTCAGGCCAGGACAGCACCACTTCATTTCTATCCCCAGATAGCCCAGTCTCGGGCTCTTCCTGCATTTTTGCAGACCCATAATGACTGGGTCCCATTCCTTGGATGCCCTGAGAGCAGGAAACCCAACATAGCCTCATGTCCTTCATCCTGATACTTGGTGTCTTCTGAACCCTAGATCCTGCTTGCCCTAAGTGCTAAGTGACTGTTTGTGACCTCATCTGTTGTTTTAAAAAAAAGATCCCAGGTATCTGGATTACCAATCTCAATCAGCAGGTCCAAATTCCCTGAACCCCAAGAAACTTCTGGATCCTCCCTCACTGTCTGCCTTTCCTGAATCCTTGAAAACCAAAAGCCAAGATCCCGGCTTCACTCCCTACTCCCAAATGGGTCCCCTGAGCATGATACAAGAGATTCCAGATGTCTAAATCTCTTGCGCCTGAAATCCTAAACCCCTTTGTTCCACTGGGTTTTGAGCTCCCCAGCCCCACCCTCAGCCCCATCCTGCCCCACAGGACCTTCCCGGCTCCTACTGCCCCGGCACATCAGGCCCTGCTGTGCCCCGCTGATGTGTGTCTGTGTTGTGCCCGTGTTGTCCCGTGTTAAGTGTTTGTGTCCGGCCCCGCACCCCCTCCCCCACCTCCCCCACAGACGGCTTCACCTCAGAGGGAGAGATTCTGGAAATCTCCGACATCCAGCGGGGCCAGGCCGGGGAATACGAATGCATTACTCACAACGGGGTGAACTCGGCGCCTGACAGCCGCCGCGTGCTAGTCACAGTGAATTGTGAGCACCAAGGGGGCTCAATGGCTGACCCTGGATACCTGGGGAGGAGGGGTCTGCCGCATGAAGCTGAAAGCTGTGTGGGAATTCGGATCTGGGGGAGGAGGGTGCTGAAATGGGGCCCCGAAGTCCTCATGCAGCAAGAATGTGCCTCTGTCCCCTATCCCTCTAAAGATCCCCCGACCATCACGGATGTGACGAGCGCGCGCACCGCCCTGGGCCGGGCCGCCCTCCTACGCTGCGAAGCCATGGCGGTGCCGCCTGCAGATTTCCAGTGGTACAAGGATGACAGGCTGTGAGGACTGCACTGGGCAAGGCTGAGGGAAGAGGGGAGGGGAGGGAGGCCCTAGGTTTCGGATCACAGAGCCAGGGTAGAGAACCTGGCAGTGCAGAGGTGCGGAGTCCTGGGTCTTGAGAGTCTAGGGTCCAGTTTCTAGATTACAGGGTCTGTGGGCTCCTGGAAGAAAGACTACTTCGGACACCAGTATAATGAATGCTAGGATTGCCCTCCACCCCACCCCGTGCAAGACCGTCTGGGGTTGAGGGTCGATGCTAAGTGTGTGGAAGACAAATTTAAGAGACCACCAAGGGCTGAGTTTAATAAGAGACACTGGGGATTAGGGACACATTCTGGGAATGTACTGGAGTGGCCCTAGTGCGTGGAGAGGGGATCCGTAAGGAAGCCTGGGGTCCGTGGGGTACATAGTAGAGCTCTGGGGGATTGCGGGGGGAAGAGAGGAGCCACTGGGTGTTTGTGGGGGAGCTGGGCACTGCACCCCAAGGGAGGCCAAGACCAACCCTGATCCGGATCTCCGGCAGGCTAAGCAGCGGCTCGGCAGAGGGTCTCAAAGTGCAGACGGAGCGCACCCGCTCCATGCTTCTCTTCGCCAACGTGAGCGCTAGGCACTACGGCAACTACACCTGTCGAGCAGCCAACCGACTTGGAGCGTCCAGCGCCTCCATGCGGCTCCTGCGTGCGTCTGTGCTGGGCGGCTGGGTGGGACAGGGTTGTGGGGGCTGAGCACCGGTGGGGCCCAGACATCAGTGGGTGGGGCAAGGAGGTGAAGATATAGGGATAGCCCCTGGCCCAGAATTGAGGAAACTCCAGCAATGTCACAGAGTAAAGAAACTGATTCTCAGGTGGTATGCACGAAGTTCTAGACGCGAACCCCATCACTATTTAAAGTCAGCATAGTTTTAAAGTCAGCATAGTGGTGCACCCAGGAAGGGAAGGCAGGAAGTTACATAGTGAGTTCAAGGTCTGGGGACTCATAGGGCCTAGTGGAAAAACAATAAACAAATGGGCTGATAGATGCATATCAAAGAAACAGGTGCATGTGCAAAAAACCAGACGTAATTGGGGGTGGTAGGTTTGAGATAAGATCGCTGGAGAAAGGGGAGCTCTGTGCAAGTCAGCAGGAAGAGGGAACAGCCATTACAAAGACACAGGAAGCAGAGTAGTCTGACAAGGACAGCTGCTCTTAGAGAGAGCTCAGAGCTTCCCAGAGGCTCTGGACTTACTGCACTGCCCCCAAGTCCACTGACAGCTGTTAAAGAGTGATCGACATGAGGTTGACAAGCCCTTTTTACTGCTCCAGGAATCCAGCCTCAGCATCTCAAGCTGTTTTGGGGCAGAGCCTACAGGCTGTTATTGTCTGGGTGCAGAAGTGTGAGCCAAGAGAGAAGCTGGGTCAAAAGTGACTCCGAGCCAGGGACTTGTATTGCAGGGTGTTATCGCAGGTACTCAGGAGGCTAAGGAAAGAGTATTGAAACTAACTTAGTGGGACCCTGTTGTGAAATAGAGAGTAAAGAGAGGTCTAGGACACAGCTTAATATTTGCCTAGAATCCCCCAGTGAGGGGCTGGAGTCATGGCTCAGTGGTAGAGCCCCTGCCTAGAATCCCCCAGTGAGGAGCTGGGGGTGTGGCTCAGTGGTAGAGCCCCTGCCTAGAATCCCCTAGTAAGGGGCGTGGCTCAGTGATAGAGCATTTTTTTATTGTACATTCCATCCCCAGTAAAACAAAGTGATTAAAAAAAAAAACCACAAAACTCACAAACAGTCAAACAAACATAGGCATCCTGAAGTTTCTGGTGGCCAAAGAAGGTGACTGGTAGAAACGCTGACAGAATTTTTAACAGGGAAAAACAAACCCCAAGGATCCAGACTAACCAACAAAAAGAAAATGGAGAAAACCTGGGAGTATCTCGAGACCCAGAACAGTTATAGAAGAGTCAGGCACAGGGAACCCAAACCCCAGAGAGTTCTAATCACAGCAACCCTCGGAAGCTGGCGGGAGAGAAGGCAGCCAGGAAAGACCCGCAGGGTCTCCCCATCTTAGCCTCCCTCTGTGACTGTTCTCTTTTGCCAGGCCCGGGATCCCTGGAGAACTCAGCTCCGAGGCCCCCAGGACCCCTGACCCTCCTCTCCGCCCTGGGCTGGCTGTGGTGGAGAATGTAGATGTCACCCAGTACAGCGCACCTCCCCCTGAAGGGGGCCTCGGGCCAGGAGCAAGAGAAGGGGTGAGCAAGCGCCTTGGGTCTCAAGGGGGACAGAAGAGCTCTCAGCCACAGAGGAAGAAAGAAGAGGAGGAGGAGGAGGAAGGTCTTTTAGAGAACCCATCACTGTGAGGGATAACGCAAAATTATGCATCTTTCTACAGCCATTCTCGTCACCCGTTCACGTTTCCAATTGTGACCCACCACCCCCAGCCACTCCACACCCCTCTCTTAGCTCAGGCTGTCAACTGGCTCGTGTGTGTGTGTGTGTGTGTGTGTGTGTGTGTGTGTGTGTGAGTCTGCGTGGTGTGTATGTATGTGAAGGTGTGCTGGGGAGGGAACCAGGAGGCCTCCCTCTCTGGAACGACTCTCCCATGGCCCCTGCCCATTCCTGCTGCCTCTCTTCCTCTGGCTGGAGGTAGGTATGGGGGCTTCATGGTGGAGGCTTGACAAGAAGATTGCCAGCTCTCCACCTTCCCATATATGCACGAACACCTACCCCTCTCCTCCCTATTGAAGGGGCAGGCAGGGTGGGTGTCAGGTGTCACTCAGCCTTTGTGAAGAGGTGGGGATCTTCATTATGGCTTGTTTCTCCTTGCTCTCTCACCAGTTGCCTGCAGCCAGAGACCCTGTCACTGGCTCTGGGGCTTGAAACCTCCCTTGTCCCCTGCCCCTCCCCGACCCTGAACTTTCTGGCCCCCTTCCTGGGCCAATCGGTGCTTCCATTCAACTGATGGGCTGGTGGCACTTGTCACCAGTCTATCTCAGTGCTTTGCCCCACCCAGACCCCCAGACTCCCCTTGGCCACAGTGGCACCCTCCAGCTGCCCTGCAGCTGACCCACAAGCATGGGCTCCCTGGCCACCTGCTCCCTCTCCTCTCAACCCATAGTACCTCCAAAGGCTGCTGTGACCACACACACACACACACACACACACACACACACACACACACACACGCACACACATGCACACACACACGCATGCACACACACACGCATGCACACACACACACGCATGCACACACACACACACACACACACCAGCGACTGACCAGCAATAGCTCTTGGCTTCAGCTGCCCCAGAGTCTGTGACGAGCAGTAATTCCCTCAGAGTAGGCCATTATTATCCACAGAGGAAGCTGACAGGCTCTGTGCGTGGGAACACCCCACCCTGATACACCAGGCCTCACAGAGTTGGAGAGAGAGGAGACACACAGACATCTTGAACCCAGGCAGAGGCACCATGCCACCAGCCCTAGCTTCAGTAACCACACACCCAAAACCATACCACTCACAGCCTGGTGAAGACGAGGGCAGAGAGGGGCAGGGAGGCAGGGGCAGTGACTGTACCTCAGACGGGGGCGTGGGCCCCATCCCACATTGTCTTCCATTCCCAGGGTCCGGGATGGGGTGGGGAGGGGGAGGGATACCAGGGGAGGTGGGAGGGGGGGCCCTGGGGGCCGTGTGTTCCAATTCATGGGGAGTGTTGAGACCACCACACCAATAAACGCCTTTTTCCAAAGTCCCCGCCTGTGGAAATCAGTGTCATTGAGGATTTGGGCAAGTGGATGGCAAAGGAGGTGTAGCCATTTGGTGAAGGATCCCCAATGCCATTCCTACCTCTGCCTGTTAGGGAAGTGAACTCCAATTGGCTTAAGCTGCTCAACAGAGCCCATCCATGTTTGGCTCAGAGATGGATGGGCACATGACCCAATGATGCTAACGAGGAAGCATATTGTCTCTAGGAAGGGAGGCTCTTCTGCTGATCAAGAGGGCTCAGTCTCATAGCCTGAGCATACAGTGTAGCTTATTATGTGGAGGGGGAGTGTTATGGGGGGGTAGCAGTGAGGAAAGGGTAGAGCAGCTGGATCAAACCCTACCTGAAGCCCACTCACCCACACACAAGCAGTAAAGCCTGTGTTTGTATAAGCTAATTTGTATCATGCTTTCTGTTGGCAGTGATTAAAAAAAAATACAAAATCTTGATTTTTCTCCCCCTTTGTATATATAGTATTAGGGACTGAACACAGTATTTAATACTTACTGGGAGATTCTAGACAGGAGCTCTAACACGGAGCCACATTCTCATCCGTCACTGAGGGATTCTAGGCAGCTGCTCTACTATGGAACCACATCCCAAGTCCTTGGTGTTTTGAGACAAGGTCTCCCTCTGAAACACTGGCCTTGAGCATGTGCTCTTCCTACCTCAAGCTCCCAAGTGTTTGCATTACCTTGGACTGTGGTACCTGGCTCTGTGTGTTGCTGCTTGCAGCCTAGGATTCCTCACTGCTGCAAACTCTAAATTCCCCGTGAGAACTCTTGTTGAAAAAGGAAGACATGTCTTGCCAAGGATAGTAGCAACAGCAGCAGCTCTTCACGGGCACCGGAATAGTTTATCAGTCCACAGTATTTATTGCTTGTCTGCTGTGTGCCAGGCTCTGTCTCTGCTGGGATAATAGTGTGGTGTGTGCCTCACTGAGTGATCAGTTCAGAGAGGGAAACTTCCCGACATCTGTCATTGTACACTTACAGGACCGGAGGGAAGCTGGGGACGTGGAACTTCACTCATTCAAGGCAGGGGAGGGGTGTCTTTCTGAGTGCTAGTGGCTACTTCAAGCCTTGATAAATCAATGACATGGGAAAGAGAAGTGTCCAGGCAGAGAGAACTCCAGGGACAAAGAGCTGGAGACCAGGGGAAGTGCGGTTGGCAGAAGGCCTACGGAGGAGTAGCCTTGGGAGGAGAAGTCACAGGAGTTGACAGAGGCCAAACCACAGGCCTCAGAGGTTAGAATGCAGAGACTGAATGATGTCTAAACACTATGTACAGCCGGAGAGAAATTTAGAGAGAAAGGATAGAGAGAAGTCATGGTAGTGCATGGCTGCCATCTCAGCACCCAGGAAACTGAAGCAGGAAGACTGGGGAGTGTGAGGCCAACCAGGTCTACATTATAAGATCCTTTCTCAAAAACAAAAAACAATAGAAAGAAAGAAAGAAAGAAAGAAAGAAAGAAAGAAAGAAAGAAAGAAAGAAAGGTGTGTGTGGTGGCCCATCCTGCAGTCCCAGCACTTGGGGGACTAGGGCAGGAGAATCATGAGTTCAGGGCCAGTCTGGGCTATCTAACAAGTCTAATGCCAGCCTGGGCTCCATGAGACTCTGAGTCACAAAACAAAGCAAAAAGGAAATCAAGAGAGGGGGGAGGAAGTGGGGAATGGGATGGTGCAAGATCTCATGTGTTGGATGATGGGAGTCTCTGAAAGCTGAAGGGGTGTGGCCTGGAGGAGGCAGGAGAAGGGAGCAGACCTTTGCAGAAGCTGTGGGGAGGCTCCCCTCCAGCTTGGAGCTAAACAGCAGGCCCTGCTTGTCAGAGGTTCTGAGTTCCTGCCAACTGCCATTTGCCCTTCTGTAGGTGGCTCTCCTATCCCCAGAGTCACATTGATGTTCTTAGATGCAAAAGGACAGGTTGAGTCTTCTGAGACAAGGGGGGACAGGATGTCCTACCCTTAGAGTCCAATCCTCAGTCATAGCAGGCCCCATGCTGCTGGGACAAAGCAGGAAACTGTACCCCAAAACACTTCATGGAGAGTGGGCCACCAGCTTTTGTCATACCTGGGTGACTGCCCGAACAGTCCATGGGCTGCCACCTGGACAGTAAGCTGGACTGGGGCTGATGACCTGGAAGAGAGACAGGAGAGGAGGCAACTTCAGGGGGTACCCTGGGTACCACCTAACCTTCCACCTATAGCCCGAGCCTTTCAGAAACTAGCTGAGGGGCTGGAGAGATGGCTCAGTGGTAAGGGCACTTCTTGCTTTTGCAGAGGACCTGGGTTAAATTCCTATCATCTATGTGGTAGCTCACAACGGTCTGTAATTCCAATTCTGGGGGATATGACGCCCTCTTCTGGCCCCTGCAAGCACTGCAGGCCAAACACACACATAAAATAAAAATAAATAAACCTTAAAGAAAACTAGTTGAGTCCCTTCTCCTTCTCCTTTCCTTTTATTTCTCTTTATTTTTTTGTTTTGTTTTTATTTTGTGTTTTTTTGTTTGTTTGTTTCTGTTTTTGTTTTTCTTTTCTGTCTGTCTGAGACAGGGTCCTGCTGTATCACCCAAGATAACCTTGAATTTGCAGTGATCCTCCTGCTCAGCCTTCCAGTCACTATGACTACAGGTGTGGCCCCTCTGTGTGCCAATGAAAAACTGTTCAGCCACCCTTGGGAGAGCTAAGGCATTCAACAGCTCAACTTTTACAGGAAAACAAGGAAATTCCATCTACCTCAGACTTTAAAAATGGAAGTCTGGAATAATTTCTATGGGAAACAAGTTGCATCTCACTCTACTTTGGAAGACAAATTGGAATTTATATTCTTTTGGTATACATAAGAGCTGAGCAGGACATCCAGTTATCGGTACTCAAAACAAAGCAAAGCATGAGGTGTGGGTCTGTAACTAGTGTTTGCCTAGAATATATGGGTCCCATCCCCAGGTCTACGTAAGCCAGATGTGGTGATTACTGGACATAAGAGGTAGAGGTCGGAGGATTCCAGTTATATAGCCTAGGATACATAGTCAGGCCCTGTTGCCAAGCAATCAAACAATACATAAATGGAACAATTTTTATCAACCTTTGTGTGCTGGCTAGTTTTATGTCAGTGTGAAACAGGCTAGAGTCATCTGAGCGATGAGACTTCGATTGAGAAAATGCTTCCATAAGCTGGGGCCGCAGGCAAGTCTGTAGGGTAGATTCTTAATTAGTGATTAACCTGGGAAGGCCCAGTCCATTGTGGGTTCGGCTACCCCTGGGCTAGCAGTACTGGGTTCTATAAGAAAGCAGGCTGAGCAAGCTAGTAAGCAGCACTCCTCCATGACGGCTGCATCATCTCCTGCCTCCGGGTTCCTGCCCTGTGGAAGTTGCTGTCCTGACTTCCTATGACAAAGAACTGTGATGCGGAAGTGTAAGCCAAATAAACCTTTCCCTCTCCATGTTGTTTTGGTCATGGTGTTTCATCACAGCAATAGTAACCCTAACTAGGACACTTTGTAAGTCATGAAGAAAAACTAGAAGAAAGACATTAGAAAACATTAGAATTAGAATATCCTCCTCTTCCAGGAAGCTACTTGACCCCCATGGCAGGAGGAAACAACACCCGCACTCACTTGCTGGGCCTTGACTGGATGAGGACTCTGCAGCTGGCTTTTGATGGGCAGTGGCCGTGGGGTCTGCACTGGGGTCAAATTCTGCACCTTTTTTCCTGGCGGGGTAAGCACAGGAGGCAAGGTCAGGGGGTGCTGCTTTTTCACAGAAGTCCTTCCTGTGAGAGGATGACAGGAAACACATGATTGATTGCTCCAACATGCCACCCTGGTCAGTAGGAATGGAAGCTGGTCCCGGAGGGTGATAGGGTGATGGGACTGTTATTGAGCGCATTGATTGCCATGCCTAAGCTTTGACCTAGGAAAGCTCCAAGCTGGCCCCAGCTGCCTCTTCCTAGGTCCTCACTCACCTGGGAAATGCCTCAGGCAGCAGATACACAGGAGAAGAAGGCCAGCCAGCAGCGCCAAGCCCAACAGAGAGCCGAGGACGATGCCAGCGATGGCTCCAGGACTCAGGGCAGAATCTGGAAGACACACACCAAAGGGAGACAAGGAAGCAGGATCCGGGGATGCACTTAAGTTTGTCTGTACCCCCAACTCATCCTTCTCAGGAAGACCCATGAAATCCGAGTTCAGTCCCTGGGACTCTCACAGCAAAAGGACAGAACCAACTCGCTCAGGGTTTCCTCTGAACTCTATACACACACATCATGTCACATGTACATAAATAAACTAACAATCAAATAAATAAAATTTTTTCTTTTTTTTTTTTTTTTTTTTTTGGTTTTTCGAGACAGGGTTTCTCTGTGTAGCTTTGCGCCTCTCCTGGAACTCGCTTGGTAGCCCAGGCTGGCCTCGAACTCACAGAGATCCGCCTGACTCTGCCTCCCAAGTGCTGGGATTAAAGGCGTGCGCCACCACCGCCCGGCCAAATAAATAAAATTTAAAAAGAGACATGAGAGAAGAGACGCTTCTTGTTTCAAGCCAACCAGGTAGTAGGACATTGTCACAGGAGCCCCCCAACACTAACAGAAGTGGAGGGTCGATGTAAAAACCGAAGAATGGCTGGTCAGGTGTTGAGAGGAAGGCAGGAAAAGGTACCACAGCCCAACTTACCCGCTTGGTAGACCCGGCTTTGAGATGGGGTCCCTGGCAGAGACCCCAAGATGGGCAAGATGCGAAAGGTCCAGGTCCCAGGGTTCCGAGGAGGGAGTGGCACGATGGCTGACCGTTCCTGAGGCCCCAGAACGAGCAGGGAGACCCAGTCCCTGCTCATGGTGACTCTATCCAGGTCAGAGCCATCTGTCCATGCCTGGATGTGAAAACCAGTGAGCAGGGTGCCTCGCTCCACATCCCAGGTGAGCACTGCGGCTTCTTGGGCTCTCTGCAGCCTCCACGAGGAAATGGAGGGCCCTGGAAAGGAAAGACACTCGACACTGAGAATCTGGCGGGAAACAGTGAGGAGGGCTGGAACTGAGGGAGGAGGGCTGATTTCTGAACGTCTGGGTTTGGCTGGAGCTCACCAGCAAGGGTGATCTGGTTGCCTCCAGCGCCCAGTGCGCTGCTGCAAAGCACAGAGTAGTTCCCCAGGTCCCAATCCAGGTTGAAGTTGCTGATGAGGAGCTTCCGGCCGTCCTCACTAAGCTGCAGTCGACCCCCACCTCCTGAAGCCAAGGGCCTTCCTTCCCGGGCCCAGGATGCTCTTGAGGGTGGGGGACAGCCAGTGACCTCCAGTGCTACCACCACATCCCCTGGTTCTGTCTCCTCCACTACTGGCTGGAGCAGCACTTCCTGGGGGGCTTCTGTTGGTGGAAGAAGCCCAGTTAAGAGAAACAAGACCTTATTGAATGTGAATAACCAAGTTCTATGTCCTTTGTTAAAGCAAAAGGTGGCAAATGTCCCCTCCCGCTCTGTGACCAGAGGTCACAGTCTGCCTATTCATTCATTTTTGAGTTTTTCTTTTATGTATTTATTTGTTTGTTTTATCTATTGTGTGTGTCCACTACTGAAAGTATGCAGAGATCAGAGAACAATTGCTGGGAGTTGGTTCTAGCCATTCACCACTAGGGTTCTGGGGACCAAACCCAGGTCACCAGGCTTGGTGGCAAGTGCCTTTTCCCATTGTATCATCTCACCCACCCATTCATTCACTCTCCAGCTTCTTCAGCATACATTTACTGAACACATACCACAGGATCCTAGGCTGGGAAACTCATTATTGTTAGCTATCCGTTACTTTTCTCTCTCTCTGGACACCTGAGAAGATGACAGCCCCTTTTCTGAGCCCAGGGGTTTGGGATGGAACACTCTGTTCCTGCTGGCTTCCCACCCTGAAGTACAGGACAAAACTTTGCTTCTCCTCCAGGTTCAAAGAAAAGTCAAGTTTGAGGTCTCAGGGAATGGCTTAGCAGATAAAGGCAATTGACAGCAAGCCTGACGACCTGAGTTCTATCCCTGAGACTTACATGATGGAAGGAGAGACCCAACTCCCAAAGAAAGTGACTAAAGAAAAAGTCACCCACTTCGCTTAAAGATAGCAAGGAGGCCCAGCCCCTCTCACCCGGGATGATCGTGCAGGTGCGTGTCGCCACCAGGTGGCGGGCCAAACAGGTGACTGCGACGCCGCTGAGCTCCGGGCGGGCGGGGACAGCCACCACGAGTGCAGATGGCACCGGCCCTGAACGGACGCCTTCGGGGAGACCCTGGAACTGCAGAGAGGCGGCAGGGACCCCACCGGGCCAGGAGCAGCGAAAGCGGAGACTCCGGTCCGCGGGACCCCCTTCCACTGAGCATTGTGGGGCCCCGGGGGGCAGATCTGCCACGGAGGAGAGATCATCCAGCCTCAGTCCTTTCTTCTTCTCCAGTCCCACCTCCATGCGGGATGCCCCACTCCTTCTCTAGGTTTCTCTCCGCCTCTTTTCCTCGATAGCTCCGCCCTCCCGCGTGCACTGACCCCTTTGTGACTCCCTCCCTCTGCCTTTGCAGGTAACTTCAACCTTCACTGATCCTACTTACCAGCCTAGGTAGCTCAAGCCTTCTCTTTCGAATCTAGCTCTGCCATTTAACTTCGCTGCTCACTGGATTGGGAATTCTCTCTCAGGACCGCCCACCCTCTCCTCCTGCTGGCTCTTCTCCTTCTCCTTGGTATCCTCACCCCTTCAACCGGCAACCTGCATACCCGTGGGCCCCGGCCTAAGCACGTGTATCCTTGTGCCACTTTGTTTGTTCCACCCATTAGCAACTGGTGGGTGTTCTACTCTCAGATATCCCTCCTCCTACCATCCACGCTCACCTAAGTTGTCTCTCCTCCTCCCGCTGCACAAGCCCTTTGTCCCGTCCCACCATTACGTTTCTGCTCTACCCTGATGATGGCGCTCCTCTCCAGGTTATCCCACCTTATTCACAAATGTCCCTGTACCTTCCTGGCTAGCTTTACTCTTTCCCTGGTGGCCACGCTTACTTGAGGTTTTCTCAGAAACTGCTTGCTAGCTCCTCCCCTTCCTGGAAGTCACGCCCATCAGCAGCTATTCCCCATTCCTCTCTGCTAGCTCGGCTTCTTCTCCAGCAGCCGCGCCCACCCGTAACTGTCCCAGCTCCTCCTTGTTGGATCCTCCCTCTCTGAAGGGCACGCCTCCTACTCTGCCCTTCTCATTGCTGTCTCCTCCCTGCCCTGACACCCCGGCCTCCACGTGCTTCCGCTCTCCCTGCTGGATGGACCCACAGCTCTTACCCGCCACAGTGAGGTTGAGCACCGAACGCCTGCGGCGGCCGGTGCGGGGGTTCGCAGCGATGCAGGCGTAAGCGCCGGCGTGGCCTGGCCCCACCGACGGCAGCAGGAGGCGAGGCCCCGCAGGCACTGCGGCCTCTGTGGGGTCTGCCAGACTCCATGCAATGTCCGCAGACGGCCGCGAGGGGGCCGAGCAGTGCAAGGTGACATTGCTGCCCGCAGTAACGTAGAGCTCAGGAACCGCATCGCGGTCGGAGAACACCTTGATGACCGGAGCATCCGGGCCGTCTTAAGTGGGGGGCGAGACAAGGAGGAGGGGGAACTGTAAAGGAGTCACAGACCCTGAGCCCACTTCTCCCCCGGGACTCAAGACTCGAATCCTCACTGGAGACACGTCCCCCACTCACAGAAGACACTGACGTCAGCTGCAGCCTCGGTGTGGCCAAAGGGGCTGCGGACACGGCAGGTGTACCGGGCGTGGTCGCTGCGTACCGGATGTGAGATGAGCAGCTGGTCCCGTTCTGCGCGGATGCGAGGTGGCTCTGCGCCTTCAGGGTCTGGGCTCTCCAGGGCACGTCCGTCTCTGCTCCAACTTAGCTCCCCACTACCTGGATTCCACCCTACGCAGTGCAGACTCAGCTCGGCTGCCCCCTCCTCTGTCTCTGGAGCCTTGGGCTGTACCGACAACTGGGGTAAGGGCTCTGGAGATCCAGAATGGGCTCTGATGAGTCGGAGAGTCCATACACCAGAACTCCCTCCCTGTGCCCCACCCAAGTCTCTGCCTCCTCAGCCCTTCCTTGCTCCCCTAACTGCACCAGGAGCTGTCAGCCCTCCTCCCTCAGATTAAAGACCCCAGTCCTCCTCCCTCCAATCTAGAGATGAAGGCCTCAGACTTGGGTGTCCAAACTCCAAACCTATTCCATCAGTCCCAGGAATCCAGACTCCAGCCCTCTTTCAGACCCAGTGGTCCAGACCCCAATCTTATTCCCTCAGTCCCATGGATTCAGACCCCAGGCCTCTTCCCTGAGACCCAGGGGTCCAGACTTCAATCCTCCTTCAGACCCAGGACTCCAGACCGCAGGTCTCTTCCTCCAGCCCTCCTCCCTTAGATCCAGGGGTCCAGGCCTCAGGCCTCCTCCCTCAGACAAGGTGGGGTCTGCTCCCTGTCTTGGCTCCTATCCCCACTCCCAGGTTCTTTCCTCTGGGAAGGAAGCATATTTACACGGCCAGATTTGCCCAGATGTCTGTGAGGAGAGCAGGCTCTGCAGCTTGTGCTCGGCACCTCAGGGCCCACTTACCATATACACCCACCGTGAACTCCCGAATCTGTTGGGAGACTCCTCCTCTGATGACCTCAACTGTGTACACGCCTGCATCATCCAGCCGTGCAGAAGTGAGTTCCAGACCCCCTCGAATCTGGTCAAATCTCAAGCGGGCTTGATGCATGGGGTCCAGACTGATCAGTGGAGCTTGTGACCCCAGGCCCCCAGCTGCCAGTACCTTGGAGCCCCGGCGCCAGACCACCAGAGGGGCAGGAGGCCTGGGGCTGGGGACTGGAGTCAGAGGGAGCTTGATGGTGGTTCCCACTAGCACAGCAAGGGGCCCCCCCACCTGCTGGGGGAAACTTGCAGCCTGGTGAGTCTCCAAAGAAACTTTGGATTCAGGGTTCTGGGCAGAAAGTTCAAGATTGTGATGCTTCAGAGGTGGCTTTGAACCTGGGGCCTTGCTGGGTACTTTGGTGCCTGGGACTTGAACAGAGAAGGAAGGCCCGGGGTCTTTAGCAGGATCTTGAGAATTGAAACCATCAAAAGCCACTTGGGAAGCAGGAATTTTAGAGAAGGTGACATCAGGGCTCAGATATTGTCCCCCAGAAGACACATTGGTCCAGAATGACCCAGGAACATGGCTTGAATTCAGCCCCTGAGGAAACCAGTTGGAATCAGGGATTCCAGCAGAGACTTCTGACCCTGGAGGCTGATCTGGAAAGTTCTGGCTGGGGGGCTGGCTGGAGACTTTTGAAACAAAGCCCTGAGAAGAGCCCCCTGAGTCTGAGGAGGAGACAGAGGGTCGCTGAGGTCTAGAAGTTGGCTGGAGGGCAAGGAGCCCTGCTCCGAATGCTGCAGAGGAGAGGAGGGAGGGGACAGCATTGAGAGACTGCTAAGGAGCAGGCTGCTGGGGGGGGGGGGGTGGCACAGGGAACTTACCCAGGAGTAGGAAGAGCAGCAGAGCTGATGGGAGGCCCATGGTGATGGTCGCACTCTGGAAAGGACACTACACCGAGATCCACAGCTTGCATCGTCCCAGGTCTGACAAGTCCAGCAGGAATGGTGGCTTAGCTTCCTGGGTGGGGAAGGAAGACAGACCTGTGGGAGGTGCCAGGGTCCCCTGGCATGATATAGTGGCTAAGTGACCCACCCCACCCTTCTTGTCCATCAGAAGATGTATGGAGAGGCCTAGAATGATCCTCCACTCCTCACCCTCAGGGGAAGGTGGACTCTCAGCTGGAACTGTGGACACCATGCAGGAAGACTTCCTTCAGGAGTGTCTAAGAAATCAGAGCCCTTCCTGTGAACTCCCTGCCTGGCTCAGGTTTCTTGCTTTCCACTGTCTTACCTGAAGCTTCTCTGACCCTGGCCCCTTCTGTGACTCCCTGATGTCCTCAGAATCAAGTCTCCAGTTGATGTCTCTGTCGAGACCATCTCCCCTGAGACCTAGAACTCAATTTCCATTGTCCAACACCTGCTAAACTCAGCATCTCCCCTCTGACCAGCACTTTAGGGTGGCTCCATTGTCCGTGCAAAGGCTGGGGACCCCTCCCACGGGCTTCCTCCCTGACACTGCCATCAATCTCTGGCGCCGCCTAGATTTCTCTGCCGTTTTCTCCTCTTGGTGCCTACTGCTCAGACCTTATCATCTTCACCTACATCCCCCACCTGCTTCCTGCAATCTCCTACTCTGGTTAGGACCCCTCCCTGGCCAGCTGACCCTTCCCTCCATGTGACAGCTTTGCCTGGCTCCACAGCATCCTCTGCAGACATTCTCACAGGACCCACCCACTTCTCTGCACTCCATCCCTTATCCCCCTGAATATGGTGCCCTTCTGATGCCATCTCACCTCCCAGCCTTTGCAAGCATTCTTTTCCTCTACCTGGAATGCTCTTTCCCCCTCCAGTCTGGCTGCCTCATAACTGGTCCTTCAGGTCTCACCTCATTAATAGCTACAATAATAATGACAACTTAAGTTTAGCCAGGAACTATGCTAAATTCTATCTGTGCGTTATCATCAGGATGATTTCTTCTGAATGTCCTGAGCAGGATGTTTGGTCCTCATTTGCCAGGCCAAGAGATGATGATGCAGAGAGGTCAGATTTCCTGTGGGAGGTTACACAGCCAGGAGGAGAGGCTGGTCAGACTGCTTAGTCCTTCAGAAAGCTTTCCTAATCCCCCTTGATAGGCTTTAGACCTCTGCTCAGTTCTGAACCTATGAGACTTAGTATAGTGCTCATATGCTGGTGGGAGGCACCGAGCATGCTCTATGTATCACATACAGCTCTTTGCTATGTCAGAAAACTGAAAAAAAATATTGTTTTGTTGGGCATGGTGGAACACGCCTTTAATCCCAGCACTTGGGACGTAGAGGCAGGCAGATCTCAGTGAGTTCGAAGCTATCCTGGTCTACATAGGGAGTTCCAGGACAGTAGAGAGACCTTGTATCAAAATAATTAATTAATTAATTAATTAATGATAATAATAATGATGTTTTAATTTATTCTTTGAGAATTTAATATATTTTTATATCTTTTCCTGTCCCCCAACTCCTTCCAGATCTTTTCCAACCTTCTTACTCACTCATCTTCATATTCTTTCTCTCTCATAATATAAAGTAAAATAAAATAAAATAAAGCACAGAGTCCATTTTGTGTTGGCTGACTCTGCTTGACCATGGGGCCTGTCCTGGGATATGGTCGATATATCTAGTGTTGTACCATTGAAGAAGACTGATTTTCCCTCTCCAAGTTATCAATTTCAAATAGCTTCTTGGCTAGGGGTAAGGATTTGTGTCCATTTCCTATTATCCATGCAGGGATTTTGCCTGGCTTGAACTTGCACAGGTCTTTGTGCATACTGTCCACAGTCTCTTGGGGTTCCTATGTGCATCAGTCCTGTTGTGCCTGGAAGATGCTGCTTCTTTGGAGTCATCTGCCACTTTTTGCTCTTACAGTCTTTGCACCCCCTCTTCTGAACAGATCCTTGGGCATTAAGAGGAGGGGTGTGATATACATATCCCATTTAGATAAATGGATAATGAAAATACATTTACATATTGGAAGACAATTCAGCTGCTCAGAAAAATGAAATTATGAAAGTTGTAGGTGTTAAAAATGATAAGCGGCACTGGTTACTGTTCCGAAAGGTCATGAGGCACGAACCATTACAAAATCCAGTATTAGAGCTTTATTAGGAGGAAGTGGGGGGGGGGCAAAAGAACCATGCGGGAAGAAGCACGTGCAGAGAGCAGAGGGGGGTGGCAAGAGAGAGCAGAGCAGAGAGGAGGGGGAGTCTGTGTCTGGCTCTAAGGATTCCCGTGCACATGCGCAGGTGGGCTTACGGAGCTACACCACGCATGCGCTGATTGCATGACCATGCCGTGCACACGTAATCACCAGCGTGCACTGATGATGTAAGATGCAAGACCCCTTGCTTAGCTCCTGTACTGCGCATGTGCAGTCATGAAGCTGGAGTGGGGGCAGAATCCTAACAGTAAGTAAATGAAGGGAGCTGGAAACAGTCATCCTGAGTGAGGTAGCCCAGAAAGACAAACATTGTGTTTTCCGTCATATGTGGATGCTAGCTTTTAAGCTTTAGCTGTGTGCTTCTCACTTGACCATTTAAGTTCCATGGGGAGCTGTCACTCCATCCAGCACTTGAGAGTCTGAGACAAGAGGACATCCTGTTCCAAGTTCAAAAGTTCAAAGCCTGCCTGTGCTACAGGCCAGGGTGGGCAATTTAGTGAAACACTCAAAGAGAGGGCTGGGATGTGATTGGGTAATATAGTGCTGGTCTAGCATGAACTGCTTGAAGGGCTATGTGTATGGCTCAGAAGTAGAACCCTGCCTAGAACCCACTATTGAGGAGCTGGGGGTGTGGCTCAGTGGTAGAGTCACTTCCTAGAATCTCCCAGTGAGGGGCTGGGGCATGGCTATTCCTAGCAAGTGTAAGACTCTTGAGTTCAATCCCCAGAACTAACCCCAAACAGATAAACACATGGAGCTGGCTTGGTAGCACACACCTGAAATTCCAACACTTAGGAGGCAGAGGACAAGCCTGGGCTACACACCAAGTTTCAGGTCAGCCTGGGATAATACTCTTGTGAGCCGCAAGAATATATTATAGAGATTCAGCTGTGTATTAAAGCTATACTTTGACTAGCCAAGGGTCTGTCAAAAGGCAAGCCATTTATTATGGAATATTTGGTGTTATCCAGTTTTTAATATTTCAGCTGTCTTTTGCTATGAAATTCTTGTGTGCCGAAATACTATAGACCATTTGGCAAACAGCTAAGCTTCACAGACCTGCTTAACTTCTAGGTAACTAACTCCCCCTCCCACAGCCTAGGAGACAAGCAGGCTGCTAGATGCATAGCTTTATTTCTTGTGCAAATGAAGCTCATACCATCCATCCCCTTCCTTGCCTAGGGGCATGGCAGAGAGACTGACTGAGGACAGTAGTGCTTTTTGCATAACCAGGTGCAGTAAGGACTGGAGCGGAATTCCAGAGGCAGACACAGAACCGCTGGCCAGAGAGAAGAGAGGAAGACAGAGGTTCTGTAGAGGGTAAAGCAGATCTCTTGTAGAGTTTATCAGGGCCAGGGGTAGGGAGCCAGGAAGGATATAGATGGAGGGCAAAGGAACAGAGGACAAAGATCAGGTCAAAAGCATAGGAGCTCACTAAAACTATGAGGACAGGAAAACTGGGCACAGAGAGGAGCTGAATGGAAGGACAGAGCTGAAACTGTAGATAGAATTGACCTAGAAGAATCAAGTGAGTGGACTAAAGAACTCAATGTGCTTAGATTCATTTGATATCCCTCAGATTAGAATCCTTAGCCGCTTGTAGCATCTGTTCTGGACCCTGATAGAAATCTCCTCAAGGCAGGAGGAGGGAATTCGTTATAATACCAAGGCCCTATCTCACCACCAACAATAATATAAATAAAGGAGGTAAGAGAAAAAGGAAAGGGAGAGTAGGGCTTCTACTCCATCCTCAGATCTAATAAGTTCCGTGATAGCTGTGCCCAGAGGACTCAGAGGAAGTTCCCAGACCACTTTCAGACTTGTTCCAGCGCACTTTGCTGTGTGGCAAAACAATCCTTGTAACACAGCTGCTATTGCTGTGCAACCTCTGGAGCAGCCCCTTGGGGAGGAGTCTTGGCTGTTGGCCCACAGCCTTGGCTGAGGCCCTAGGCAACTGCTAGCTTGGGTCAAGAGCTCCAGCCTGCCAAGCATTTATTTCACTGCATGCCTATAACCTCAGCATTAGAAGAGACTGAGGTTGGAGGAACTTGAGTCTGAAGCAAGCCTGGCTTATATAGGAAGACCCTGACTCCACAAAGAGGGTTAGGTGGGAATGGAGAGATGGATCAGAGGTTAAGAGCACTTGCTGCTTTTTCAGAGGACCATGGTTCAATTCCCAGTACCCACATGGTAGCTCACAACCATCTGTAACTCCAGTTCCAGGGAATCCAGTGTTCTCTTCTAGCCTGTGGTAACTGCATGCATGTATGTGGCACACAGACACACACATACACATCAAATTTAAAGATAAGTATGTTGCTTTTAAATAAGTGGCGCTGTTACCGTGCAAGAAAGGTCATGAGGCACGACAAAACCCAGTATCAGAGCTTTATTGGGGGCGGGGGGGGGGGGGGGGGGAGCATGGCCAGGCCTGTTGGAAAGACATGTGAGGAGAAGGGCAAGGGGGGGGGGGGGGCGAGGAGAGAGCAGAAGAGAGGGGAGGAGTCTGTGACTGGCTTTTTAAGGATTCCCTTCCCTGCACATGTGCATGTGGGCTGATGGAGCTACACCACGCATGCGCAAATTGCATGCCTGAGCTGCGTCTGCAATCACGAAGCGCATGGATTACGTAGGATGTAAGACCCTCGCTAATGAACTGTGCATGTGCGGTCATATAGCTGGAGGAGTGGCTGGAATCCTAACAAAGTAATCAAACGTCTTTTTAAGACAGGGTCTCTGTAGCCCTGGCTATCCTGGAACTCAACATGTAGACCAGGCTGGCCGCAAAATCACAGAGATCCACTCTGTCTCCCGAGTGCTGGGATTAAAGGTGTGCACTACTACACCAGTAATAAATCTATTTTAAAAAGAGGATTTGGCATAGGTTAGTGTTGCTCTCACTTGGCCAGAGAAGCCTTTCTGCAACGAACAGCAGTTAATGCAGAGATTCATAACTGGTCAAAGTGCTGAGATGAAGTGAGTTTTTTTCCAACATAATATTTTTGTTGATTATTTGGGAATTTTACACAATGTATCCTGACCACACTCACTTTCCAGTCTTCCCAGGTCCATCCCCAACTTGTGGCCTCCCCCAAAAAAAGAAGAGAAAGAAAGAAGAAAAAGGAAAAAAAAATACACCAAGTCCAATTTGTGTTGCCCTATACTCATTGAAGCACGGTCAAACTCCGAGTTGCCAGCCCCTTAATGAAAATTGAGTCCTTCCCCACCCCACCCCACCAGCCATCAACTGTGAAGAGCTACACTCCAGCATCCCTATCACAAGTTTAAGGGCTCTGTCCAATGGCTTCCTGTCTAGACTGTTTCTTTTTGAAGGGAAGGGGGTTGTCACAGAGGCCTTCATGTCTCTCATTCTCAACTGTGAGTCTGCAGTCATTAATACCACTGCAATAGAAGCTTTTGCCCTTTACAGTCAGCAGTAGCACGGATCATGGACTTCCACATGGTTTCTGGCGACAGCATAGACCACAGACATCAACATGGCCCTTGGCAGCAGCACAGGCCTGTTGTGGAATATTACTTTAACTGGGCAAACATTTGTTTATACTACATTTGTTTAATTATGAAAAGATGTGTTGCTGTTTCACCTCGCCTAAGGTACATAACTGGTCTAATAAAAAGATGAACAACCAATAGCAAGGCGGGAGAGGAATAAGCAGGGCTGGCAGGCAGAGAGAATAAGTAGGAGGAGAAATCTAGCTCAAGAGAGGAGAAAGTGGGACACACCCAGGGCCAGAATCCAGGCAGCTGCCAGACAGACAGACAGAGAGGTAGCAGCAAAGTAAGATATACAGAAAGAAAGAAGGTAAAAAGCCCCAAGGCAAAATGTAAGTGAAAAGAAACAGGTTAAGTTAAAAAAAAATAATAATAAAGCTAGCCAGAAACGAGCACAAGCTAAGGCCAAGCATTCATAACTAATAAATCTCCATGTCATGATTTGGGAGCTGGTTGGTGGCTCAAAAGAAAGTATGATGCTCAGGCCTCATACACATGGCCTTCAGTGGTAACACAGATCATGGACATCCACAGGGCCTCCAGCAGCAACAGGGAACACAGACCTCAACATGGTCCCCAGTGGTAGCATTGACCACAGACTTCAATACAGCCACAGGGCTGAAGCATGGACCACGGATAACAACATAGCCCTTGGCAGCAGCATGGGTCACTGACATCAACATGGTCTCAGGCAGCAGCACAGGCCATGAACATCAACATGGCATTCAGTGCTAACATGAACATGCACATCAACATGACCATGGTAGCAACACAGACCACAGACACCAACATGGCCTCCAGCAGCACATGGACCATGGAGGTTTTTCAAGAAGGTCCAAGCCAGAAAATGAACTGTTCTCCATCTCCAACATCCTGTCCTTGTTCAAGCCAGG